CGCTCAGCTGAGTCTTCCTTGGGCCCTCACTCAGCCCACGCTCTCCCTCTTCTCTGTCCTGCTTCCTTCCCTTCCAGAAGTGTTTATCCCAAGAGTGCCCCCTAAGATGCTAATCTCCATCTCAGAGAAGGTTTCCCAGGAAATCCACCTCCTGACACTGGGTACAGAGTGGGGTTTAACCCATGGTGGGTGTGTACTTGACAGACAGGCACCTGCACTAGCGACTGGTCCAAGTTTAGAGGCTTTGTGGCTGGTGCCCAGAGGCAGGGGATGCTCTCTAGGCTCCACTACCTGGAGCCTCTCAGCACCCCCTCCCCAAAGCTGTTGGGGCTGGGATGGGGGAGATATTTAGGAGCTTGGGAAACTGGTGGGGAGGAGGGCTCTTCTGAGCCGAGCCATCCTCCTGGCTCCAGGCAATGGACACTGTGGGAAAGAGTCAGAAAAGCCATTCTCACTCCCCTTTGTGATTTATGCTGGACAGCTCTGGGCGGGCCAGGCCGCCCCGCCTCTGAGCAAGAGGGGCCCACAAAACTTCGTGGTCCCCCCCGACCCCGCCCCGGCCCTGGGCTTTGGCCTCACTTCCCTCACAGCCTGCTCCTCTTACATCTCAGTTTGCAGTTCTGCTTTCTGGCTGGGAAACCACGGAAAGTCATCTTTATCTTGCGAGTTGATTCTGAAGCTTCTCTGAACCACCCTGCCCCTCCAGCCAAGCAGCCAACAACATCAGGGTCCAGAGACACCCGTGTCTGGAGAAACTCCTTCTCCCCACTCAGCAGCTGGGGAGGGGTGGCGCAGCTGCAGGGCTCCGGGCGGCATCAAAGCTGACCCGTGGGCGGCTGCAGGCATCACTTAACGTCAGTTTGCTCATCTGAGAAAAGAGACGCCCATAGCCATTCTCCAGGACCCTCCCCAGGGGTTTCAGAAGCACTCCTTACGCCACTCCGATCACACTGACTGTGAGAATCCAACGAAATAATGAAGGGAAAACCTTTACCAGCACCAAAGTATCATGTAAAAGATCATGTGGAGTCATTCCCTGCCTAGGTAAGGAGACCTCCGTCTCTTTTTAAGGCAACTGGAGAAAACACACCAATAAACAAGAAAAAGACAGTGGCTTGGAACATTCTGAACTTTTGAAAGGGCAGCCTGGGGGTGAGAGGGAAGGACCTTTCAGAGAAAGGCCAGTGATGGGGCAGCCTGATGGGTCCTAACTGACTTGTTCACATGCCCAACCAAGGGCTCAACATTCACAGCTCCTGGTTTCTCCAGAAGCCAGAAATCTAGGGTTTTAAAATTTAAAAGATATTTTTTTTTCAAATGAAATCTTGTGATTTTAAAATGTTGTCTCCAAATTCAAAATTTTCAAAAGTCACTGAGGGCCAAATCAAACACATCTGGGGACCAAACTGACTGATT